GTAGGATTAATCGTGCTGACCTGTCTTAATTTGTATGGATTAATAATTTTATATTTAGAATTTAATTGGGCCCGTCAGGCTAGGCCACAAGGGTCATCGTCAAAAGTAACAAAAATTGTTGAGGTTGTTGACGAGGAGGCGGCTGAGGCTCGGGACGGTCCAGCGCCCACAGCCGGGGCAAAGGGTACGTTCCAACGCTCGTTGCGGCAGGGAAGGCCGGATCCACGAGGTCCAAAACGCATTCAGGAGAATATTCCGCTTATGACAATCCCGCAATCGACTGCCATACCTCCCGGGCGAAGTTTGTAGGCAAATATGCATTGCATATCTACTTAAAAAATATACAATATTTGGATACAGGGTAGAGTTATCTAAAGTAGAATCAGTTAATTTTCATTTCCTTTTCCTGTCTCCTACTTTCCTGCTCTCTCTTCGTCTCGTTCTTCACCTCTGCCGTGCCGCCATGTGCTTGAGTCCATTCAGTCGAAGCCGAGCGCACAGCTACACACGCGCCGCCTACAGCAGATACATTTCTGTGCCGCTCTACAGCACAATTCCTCGCCTCGGCTCGGTCCAACATGCCAGCCACCCAGCGCCAACCTGCACCACTCCCCCGGAGCGCAGCCCTGCGCTGCCCTGAGCAGCCGCCTGGAGCGCTGACATGAGCGCCACCCTGCGCTCCACTGAGCAGCCGCCCAGAGAGCTGACATGTGCCACCCGGCACCATCCAGAGCACCAGCCTGTGCGTCACTGTGCGCCACCCTACGCCGCCCCGTACCATCCAGAGCGCCTTCCTGTGCGTCACCATGTGCCGCCCTGCGCCGTTTTTCATAAACAGTAGTTTCCTCAAGAGCATAGGTAGGTATGTCCCCGTTCCGAGTAATGTACGGCACCGATCATCTGTGGCCCGCTCACTTGCAGGTTCTCCCACCAAAAACCATGTCGGTAACTCGTTACTACCTGGGCGCGGGTGTAAACGACGATTTGACAGAGGACGCTGAAAGCCGCAGTTTTATCCGAACCAGAGGATTCGAATTTACATGTTCATACTTCAGTTCGGTGTTCAGAATTTCGAATATGTCCCAGGCTCTCGAAGGTGGTGTACTTGGTGAGGGCGGAACGACGGGGCCGACGGAGAGTTTTGTCGGTACACATCCGGCACATTGCGCCAGTGTTTCGCCGTCCCCAATTTTTGAACTTCGCCGGGGCCTGATCAGCTTTGTACTTGTTCTTCATTGCGTGTCTGTTCAACAATGCGACTGCTCACCCTGGTTGTGCTGTTGGGAATGCTGGAAGTGGAGTGTGAACTTTTTTGAATAACTACAAGCCTATGGAGAAGCAGCACCTACCCGTCAACATCGAGCAGGAGGTGAAGCGATGGGCCTACCAGGGACATGCGACGGTTGCCATCGCGTCACGGTCAATCTAGAAGGGCATTGGGTATGCGTCCTTATTGAGTACATACAACAGTCTGAACGAAGAAATTTTGCCGTTCCCTCCCACGCGTAAAGAGATGGGCGAGTCGACGCGTCCTAACAACAATGTTCTATCTGCAGCGTGCTGATTACACAATGTTCTATTTGCAAAACCTGGGTTTCGGGACACCTCCAAAAGAATGCTTATTACTCCGTAACCACTCGTTCTACTTCACTTCTTGCATTCAATAATTAAACATTGGACCTTTACGATTCTTTCCGTATGCTCAGATTGGCCTTAATGTCTTCCAGTTACTTGTAAACCACATAAAGGTGGGGGGGCGCCTAACCCCATTTTGCAGATAAATCATTATGTAATCCGCACGCTGCAGATAGAACATTGTTGTTAGGACTCGTCGGAGTGGACTCAGAAAAGGGTGATAAGGATCAGGGCAGTAGTGAAGGGGGGGACCGGAGATGAATTTGAGCCATGCCTAAAAGGAACAGAATTCGATACCTACAAGAAAAACACACGCAGTTCTGGGACCCGAGGACAGACTCACGTAGTTTCGAGCTGCGATTTCAAACTCACGTACTTCTGGACCCCTTTGGAAAGACTCACGTAGTTCTTGGTTATAAGATAGGAACTACGTGAGTTTGTACTCGGGATCCAGAAGTATGTGAGTTTGAAATCGCAGCTCGGAACTACGTGAGTCTTTCCTTGGGCCTCAAAAGTACGTGTGTGTTCCTTGTAGGTATCGAATTGGTTACATCAAGTTTTGTGGAGTCAGCAGAATTAGTGAGAAAACCTTTTTCGATCGGCCTGTAACACGTCATGGACCTCACATTGTAAGTCTATATCCCTTTCCGTCTTCATTACGGGGACGAATCAATAACACATCATCACCCTCTGGCGAGCACCTTGAGGCCAGGGTTGGGGCCTTTCACACAGGACAACGATGCGCTGCCCATCACGGCCATTCCCAAGCGCACGGTCACGCAGGTGCGGGTGACCCCCAACTGCTTTGCTGGCCATGACGGGTTTGCCTGCAGTGATAAGGCGAATGGAAAGTTCACCCGGCTGGAACTTGATAGTGTTCGTTCGAGCAACCCTGGCCAAGGAGGATGTCCAGGTGTGTCGATTCTACTACTTCTGGATTTGTCCTAAGTCTGTAATTTCAGTGCTGGGGTCCCGGTGTAATGTGGCCGCTCAGGCCCATCAGGAGAATACAGGACAGCTGCCTCGGCGCCGCAGACGAGTCTAATGTCCTAGGGCCTGTGCAGGTACGGACCATCGCCCTGAAGCTAGACCCTGCGTGGCAGGTGCGGCTATCCCAGAATCCAGCCGTGCCCACCTGCCCAACTTTTAATTTGGACCGTCGGGGCGCCTCAAATTTGATCACTCCCGAAATGTTCCAAAACGGGTGTTTTATTTTGGTGCGTGACTTGACGCCGGACTTTAGTGGGAATACGACCCATGTGGCCCTCCCCTCATCGAGTACTTTGCGTTTAGAGTTTACCTTTGCAAATAATTTAGAATCCGCTCTCACAGTTTTATGTGTTTTAGAGTTAGACTCGGTCATGGAAATTTCAAATGCCTTCATCTCTTAAATGTAGCATAGCATAAATTCCATTGAACTGCGCGCTGCGTGTGA